TTTAATCTTGGTTATTAACCTTAATAAGTCAAAAGAATTTACAAAGAATATTTGTACATTTGAGTGGGGAAGGTGCTCTGAAAATGTGGGTAGGCTTCGCAGGATGTACCAAAGTGGACCAAGAGTTAGGATTTTGTTCTGTTTGTTCTCAAAGCACACTGCTTCTCTTGAATTCTCTCTTCTAGCATCAATGTATTTACTTGTTTACATCTTTTTTAGTTCATTCTGCTTCAATTCATATTTTGTGGCCTTTGTTGTTCATTCAATTTAAGATTGTACTCCTGGAGCCCCAATACTTTGAGTTTAATGACAAAGAAGAATACAAAGCGTTACATGAACAAGTTATCCTTGCAATATGGTTGTTGCAAGAGTTCCCAACTCTTATTCCTGACTTCCTAATGTTTACCTTGTCAGGTACCCAAACTGAATCACATGAGACTGTCTCTGTCTTTAAGAGGAGAATTCACACCTGTTATTACTCACTTTCAGCCACTCATTTTTTTATAACCTTGAGAGTATCATTTCTTACCAGTAATCCAGATCACATGCTCCTAAAAGGACTACTGAGCACAGCCTAATAGTGACAGCTACAAACAAACCAATGAGCCCTTGCTCTATAAGTGGACCTAAGAAGACACTCATGGAGTTCTTTCAAAGTTCAGTCATATAATTTGTATTGTATTTTCTGTTTACACCAAGTCAGCAAGAAGAAGAGGATTGAAAATGAAGGATGTCCTATAATCCAACACCAGACCCTTCTTCCAACTTGTTTTGTCTGAGGGTTTATACTTTAAGTTCCTTGCAATTTTAAGGGACTTACTCATCTGCTCAAGCAGCAATGCTTCTATGTTTCTTCTCATAACTGGCAGAATTTCTTTCTCTCGTCCACATTGGCACTAACTTGTCTCTTCTTTATTCTTAGGCCTAATTACTCAACTCCTTAGGGGCACAAATCTTCACTAGACTTTCTCCGAATGAATTATATTACAAATTTCACTTAAAATTCAACCTCTATCTTGCCCCAACGGTGTGGTTCAAGGTTGAACATCAATCTATGAACCAGGAGGTCATGGTTTGATTCCCAGACAGGGCACATGCCCGGTTGTGGGCTTGATCCCCAGCAGGGGGCATGCAGGAGGCAGATGACCAATGATTGCCTCTCTTCATTGATGTTTCTATCTCTCCCTCTCCCTTCCTCTCTGAAGTCAATAAAAAATATCTTAAAAATTCAACTTCTAACTCATAAGCAAGATTAAATTCACTGTTTTTCTTCTGTATAGAAAAATTCATCTAAGTTACTATTTATAAGCGATGAGACAAAAGATGCTCATTTTTTTTCCAGTTAGCAAAAGTAATATGAATAGCATTCATGTTGAAAACATATGGCAGTTGATCTCAATTTTTATATAAACCCATTAGATCAGCGGTTCTCAGCCTGTGGGTCCCGACCCCTTTGGAAAACACATATATAATTATATATTGTTTTTGTGATTAATAAATGAGATTAACACTCTTAGAAAAGAGACCTCACAGAGCTTCCCAGCCCCTTCCACCATGTGAGGACATATCATGGAGGGTCCAACTATGAACCAAAAAGAGGTCCTTCAACAGAACCTGACCATACTGGCACACTGATCTTGGAATTCCCAGCCTGCAGAATGGTGAAAAGTAAATTTCTGTTGTTTATAAGCTACCCAGTCTATGGCATTTTGTTATAGCAATCTGAACATACTAAGAGAGGGAGACACTGTGTTAAATGTTTAATTTATATGTGTGACTGATGAACTGTACAAGAAAATGCATGGGATATAATAAAAATGTTACTTTAATTTCTCTCTCCAACTGCTCTTTAAGTTTTATTCCATGGTAATACTCTTCCCATAACCCTGAAACTCACAAGATAGCATCTATTCTTTTCCTAAGAAATCTCTTCCCAAATCATTCTTCCCCTTCTCATCACATTGGAGCCTACAAAATATAAAAACATTTTTAATGTTTTCTTTGTATACTATATGTATTGGTGATTATCTCAGACTCATTGTGGTATTAGATGTCTATGGTATAGAAGTCACAGGCAAAATCAATACAGGAAGAATACTATTGCATCCTATTTTATATGCATCATCTAATTTAAACCACTCACAATTTTATCAGATTTATGGAGGTTAAGTAACTTATGCAGAGTCAAGAGTGCTAGATATTATTATAATGGTGGAATTTGGTAATAAAGTCATTAATAGATATTACATATTGATAAAAATACATTCCTTTTAGCTAATGTTTCATTTTGTAAATGTTGGTTTGGAATCGGTTAAAATGCTAGAATAGGACATCTACTTTGGAGAAAACTCAATACATTAATTAAGAATATTAATTATAAGTTAAGAGAAAAGGAGGCATCTGTATCAGATAATGGTACATGTGATGCCCCTGCGTTCTCCGATGAAGAGATTTAAGCCCAACTTCAGAGGTGTATATATCCCGAGTAGTCATCCAAGTTCCCAGAATGATTATTCCCAAGGAGGAGAGTGTAGAGGCAGTAAGTTCCTCACATTATACCAGCTCCATCCCTCCAATTACCCATGCCACCAGTCATGTTTTCTCCCATAATATGTTGTTATTGGAAATAATATTGAGATTCAACACTGTCTGATTCCATAGTTGTTGTGATTCATTAGACATGTTTGGTAAGAGCTAGTATACAGTCCTTTCTTTAAGAAATGGAAAAGTATTACACACACACACACACACACACACACACATATATATATATCCTGCTCACCAATTGAGACATCCATTACTTAACACTTACTTTATCACTTCAGGTGGGAAAATATGTGTTTACAAGGATATTAAGGTACAAAAGGCAGCAAGGGTCTACTCGCATCTGACTTTTCAAAAGCCCACAGACAATATGCTTAAACATAGGCATAATGACTCACCATTCAAATGACTTACCATTCAGAAGGATGACTTTTTAAATCAATGTAGCATATTAATGACTTTAATACTAAATCCCAGCATTGTTTACTTAACACTATCTTGTGAACCAGCCATAATAATCTCTAGCACCCTGTGAACCTGCACAAGTTACCTAACCTCTACTTTATACATATTTAATTATATCTATGTATGTGTTTATACATACATATGCACACACTATATATGTATATATACAGTATATATTGGGTATCCCCAAAAATGTATACACATACTTTGAATAATTATAAAGGCAATGTTTAGTAAAATACAATTCATTTTCAAAATTGAGCTATCAGCTGTTAAAGTGTGTATATATATATATATATATATATAGAGAGAGAGAGAGAGAGAGAGAGAGAGAACACTTCCATGTAGTTTAGAGATAGAGAAGTTGAGGAAGAAAAGTGATACTTTTATCAAATTATAATATTTAGTACATAATATAGCAATTATAAAGCAAGTCAAAACTATGTAAATAGTCATCCCAAAATATAAATTAAATAAGACACATACAAGGACCCCCAACACTACAATGAGAATGATGACCCCCACCATTAAATTCAGGACTGTGGCCAGTTTAAATGAGAGTGAATATTCAAAACAAGCACACATTTTTAATGATCAATTGACGTATTTTCCAAACCAGTGTTATCTAAGTAGGAGTGAGGGTGGGAAGAGTTTGCATATTTGCATAACCCAAGGGCACAGACAATAGTGCCATGAAGATGGAGGTGGGGCGGGAGCTGAGGAGTGGAGGGGGTTAATAGGGGTGAAAAAGAGGGACATCTGTAATACTTTCAACGTTAAATATTTTAAAAATAAAGCAACTTTCTCTGATGAACGTTCCTGAACACTTGCAATGTGACTAGTGCAAGTGGGTAAGTTAATTATTTTTATGTCTATTTAATTTTAATTAAAATAGCTACGTGCAGCTATGGTATTGTAGAGTGAAGGCAGTGGCTCTCAACCTTCCTAATGCCGTGACCCTTTAATACAGTGCCTCATGTTGTGGTGACCCGCAATTTCATTGTTACCAAGTGAACATAATTAAAGCATAGTGATTAATCACAAAAACAATATGTAATAATATATGTGTTTTCCAATGGTGTTAGGCGACCCTCAAAGGGTCGCGACCCACAGGTTGAGAACCGTTGGTTTAGACAGAAAAAAGGCAACCTATTACTCAATGTTCCAAGGTAATAGGAACATTGTAATCTTCTGCAATGTAATAGGTAAAACGAACTTCGTATTCCAAAGTTACTGTAAATCCGAAGCACAATATATAACATTTCCATGATACAATCTTTATGAAGAAATTACTTTCGAAACTTGAAAAATACTACCCCACTGAAGTCTTTCTTTTTAAAGGTACCCTTCCATTTATCAGGCACAGTTTTGGTTTTCTAGAAAAGAAGCAATTTTTCCCAAATAAATCTACCCCAAAATAATAACCTAAAAACACAAGACATTACTGAAGTTCACAGAATGACAGGCACCAAAATCATTAAGAGCTCACATAACCCAAATTTGGAGCTTCTGGTTGTTTTAAAATCTCATCAAAAACAAACAACAACAACAAACTAAAACTTTCTATTCACTGAGATAGAAGCTGTGAGCTTCCCAAGCCATACCTTTTCCCCTTCCACTTTGAGATATTTTTCTCCACTTCCATTGAGATATAACTGACCTCTAGCTCTGTATAAGTTTAAGGCATACCGCATAGGGGCTGACATACCTATACTGAGAAAGGGTCATTACCGTAAGTTAGTTAACATCCATCTCCTCTGATTACAAAGAAATGTTTTTCCCTGGTGATGTGAACTTTCAGCAACTTTCTATCATACCATACGGCAGTGATGACTATAGTCAGTCATCACAGGGTCCAGGAGAAGCCACACTGCTAAACCCGGCCTAGGTACACCGCCAGCTCGGCCCACAGGCACCTCTGCCCCCCCCCCCACCCCGCCCCGCACACGCTCACGCCTCGGATCACGTCCGCGCGCCTCCCCGCCCCTGACCTTTCTCGCTGACGCTCTCGCTCTCCAGCTCCACGTCCTCGCAGCTGGTGTACTCCGGCGTGGACACGCCCTCCTCCTCCGAGCTGCTCACCGACATCTGCCGCTTCTTGCCGCCCCTCTTGGGCCGGTGCGGCTTGGGCGGGGACGGCCGCACGGACTCCGACTGGTCGGAGCTCAGCGAGTCGTTCCGCAGCATCGTCTGTGGCGCCGCTCGTGCCGGGCGCGGGACACCCGGGCGTGCATGCGCATCTGCTGCTCCTCCAGCGGCGCTTTCACGGGGTACCGCGCCAGGTTCGGGTCGCTGCGGTACCGGGTCTGGTACTCCTCGCTCCTCTGCTTCTCGTCGACCGCCGCTTTGCCCTCCTCTCGCTTTCCAGGCAGGTCGGAGAAGTCCTGGGACCGGCCTTTCTCCAGCCTCCGGCTTTCCCGCCTTTCTTTCCGCTCCCGGTCTTCCAAGGCCCCCTCGCCAGGTGGCACTGAAGTCTTTGGCACGCGTTTCCGCTCGCTCTTTGGGGCTCCTTTGCCATTCTGTTCAGAGAGCCCAGGCGTCTTCTTCCTGTGATAGACAAAGGGACGTCAGGAAGGAGAGCAGGGTGTAAAGCCTAAAGTGAAGACCAGACCTTCGTATTCCAGATGTAAAGCCTTTCAAATAATTACTTATAATTCGGTGTCTAATTAAAAGCGACATGATAAGGAACCATCTTAAACCTGTATATCTGACTAGCTTTCTACTAGTAAATAAGGCTCATTTGCATCACAATATGCTCGGGGACTTCAGAAATTATTTGCACATTTCAAATTCTCTATAAATTAACTAGATCAATAAATGCCATCAATAACTTGATTCAATAAATGAGTACGTTGTATGCCAACCACTGCTTGTGAATCAAAGACTAAAAATATTTTAGGTGAAATTAATACAGGTAATAATATTGGAGCAAAAGAATATAAACCAAGTCAAAACTATATACTTGATATATATTTGGACAATAGATAGTGACAATCTCTTACTGTAACTGAAACGTTTAAAGAATGGACATACAAGTATGTCCATTTCAGAAATCAAATCCATTAGCATTTCTTCAATAGTAGAACAAAAGTAATTTTAATGAGATCATGTGTACCCAAACACCTTTTTAAGAAGTTGGTTAGGAAAAGAATGGCTGACCCTTAATCTTTATTTTACTTTCTGTGGGCAAAAATAATAGAAATATTGGAAAATTTGAAATTAATATTGATTTTTTCTTTCCCTTTCCCTAATTTCAGAACACAGTGCAAAAGAATAAAACAGTTTTTCTACTTTTCTCTCTATCCTGTTGAAAGCAATAGCAAGATAAAAGGAAAGGAAAAGGGTTTGCCAGTCTTTGAATGTTGTAGATGTATCATTCAATTGCTCCATTCAGCCTTTGTCTGCACACAGGTGTACACCTGATTTTAGAAAGTTCCAGCAGCTATTTCAGAAGTTACAAAAAGGAGGTGCCTTGGCAAAGCATTCTGACACTATATGATCTACTATGCAATTAAAATGGAGACAAACTAAGACTGATTTTGGAATCCTGAGGTCCATAGAGAGGACTTTCCAAAGGGAACATCCTTTGACTAGAAGCCCAAAAGCAGAAGTAATAAACAAAAATCAAGAAAAAAAACAAGATGAAAAAAAAGTAGGGCAATTTCTATTGTGGGTTACCTAAATAGTAATTGCTAAGATATGGGTTAGTTTGAGGAAGGGCTGGTAATGATGAAAAGTAAGAGTAAAGGGTTTTTCATATGGCATTGGAAGGCAAAATGGAAACATGGAAAATTCTGTTTCAGGTTACATTGGTCCACAAGGGTGGCACTGTAAGGGGACTAATAGAATACATATTAATCATTATAAAATATAGTTTTCATAAGAGCATTATGATTGCACTGCAAACATTTAGTAGCTCATTAAGGCATAGTTGATCTGGTTAGAAGTTTATATTGTGTTAATTTACTTTTCCTGAAATACTGATAAAGAATGCTTACCTTGCAGGGTTCATATGAGGCTTAAAGGAAATGCCATCTGTGAAAATGGTCTAGAATGGATAGAGTATTATGAAAATGGAAGGAGTTCTCCAGTCTCTCTGATTCTTTGCCTAAGGATTGTTTTTCTCACCTCTACCTTTAATTGTTCCATTTCCACTAGCTCCTGATGAGTGTATAAGATATGATCAAGGATTCTTCAATCATTTAAAACACTGCCATTCTTTCAGTCTTGCTTCTCTCCCTAAAGTTGTTACCTGTCTCTCTTTTTCTTCTACACTCTCATATCCTTGCTGTTTTCTTAAGTGTTTATAAAATCAGTGAGTGATTTAAAAATCAAAAGGGCATTTGGCCCTCTATTGTCTTATTCCTTTAGGTCACATGCCCTTGCATATACCTGGAACACCAATCCCACTCTTCACCTGGTTAATTCCTAGTCAATTTTCAGAGCTCAGCATAAAAGAAATGTTTTCAAAGAAGGCCAGCTAAGGTACCCACCCACCCTGCCCTGGGTCAGGTGACCCCATCATATTCTCTCAGAGCACACATTCAGTTACGGACTAATGTGATAAGTGAAGAAATGATGTAAAAGCTTTGCTGAATTCAAGGTTGGAAGTCAGTACCCAACTGGGTGACTGGATTATATCTGTGCACAATATGACCACAAAGCTTCTCAACAAAGATCTCCGAAGGCATGATACATTCTAGAGGTAAACAAAGCACTTCCGGCCTGTTGTTACCTTCCACGTGGGGCCTGAGAAGCACAGCTTCCAAACATCTTTTCTTAAGAACCGTTACATTCTTGAAAATGGGTTTTTTTGTCAATACGAGACCTTGCCTTCTGCCTACAGGGTTAATGAACTATTACCTCTCTCTTGGAGGTTCACTTCTAGACCTGGATGCAGCCTGCTTCTGTTCTGGCCCCATGGCTTGCTGGGAGGGCTCAGCCCCCTTGCTCCTGTCTGGTTGTGCACTGGGAGGAGCGGTGTCCTGGGAGGAGGCAGCTGCGGTGCTTAGGGGAGTCTGAGACCGTGATCGCTCCTGGAGCCGGGCTTTCTTTTCTCTGGGAACCTCGGAACCAGCACCTGTAGCTGTATCACTTAGGGTTCCATCCTGACTGGGCTGCTGAGGGCCACTTCCAAAGAACCAGGCCCCAGATTTGGTTAAGATTTCTTGTTGCTTTCGACATAAATTGCATACCCACATAACCTATTTGAAGAAGAGAGAACAATATAAAATTTCTATGCCATTTGGAAATAATTTATCTTCATCAAACTAAAATATCTTTTAAGGGGAAAAAAGGTTGTCATCTTCATATTTATCCTTATAAATTTCTTGTGTAAAAGATCCTTGTACCAGTCAAAGTCTATGAAATTAAGGTGCCTCTGGGCAACCTTTTTCTTGCCATTCGAATCCTAAGATTCTGAGTTTCCTTTAACCATGTATCCATCACATTTTATATGACTAACCCTGCAGTTTCATTTAAAATGTCCTAAAAGAGGAGTTGATTGATTAGAAAAAATTATAAGGAGCTATAAAATTAATATCTATGTACATAAACTTCAGTGTCTCAAAGGGTTTAGAAGGTATCTGGTCTCTCAAAAATCATACATTATTAAAGGCAATATTAAAATATATTCCTGTGGAAAGATAAAAAATAAAAGGTAGGCACAAAAAATATCAAGCTGTGTATTTTCTCTAGTTTATTAGTAGTAGACTAACCTCCAGTTTATTTTATGCTATTAAATATAATTTTCCACATACTTATTTACTAAATCAAATCTGGGGATGGGTTTATTCATATGTGACAACTCTGATATAGTTTCCACAAGAAGAGCTATTTTTGCAACAGTCATTTAGAAACATATCCACTGATAAATTACAAGACGTATGACCACTTAAAATAAATATATATCTGCTCTCCTCTTGGTGACATTTAAAATGAATGTAATAATGAGGACAGTGATGATAATCGGAATAATACATAATAACAGTGACACCAACAGACACAGGGCTGAGAGAGGTGCCTACAGCCCCATAAGCCTTCTTGTCAAGTATCCCCAGTACCTCTGCTTCTTTGTGGTGAGTTCATCTTGCTGCCTCAGCCAATTTCCTTTCAGTTTCTTTTGTATTTCAGAAACAATACTCTGACACACAAAACCTGATTACCAAACTCTAGGCCAGTGATGGCGAACCTTTTGAGCTCAGCGTGTCAGCACTGAAAAACCCTAACTTAACTCTTGTGCTGTGTCACATATAGAAATTTTTTGATATTTGCAACCATAGTAAAACAAAGACTTATACTTTTGATATTTATTTTATATATTTAAATGCCATTTAACAAAGAAAAATCAACCAAAAAATGAGTCCGCGTGTCACCTCTGACACAGGTGTCATAGGTTCGCCATCACTGCTCTAGGCCCTCATTTTTACAAATACAAAGTCAGTCAACAATTACTCAAACATATCACATAACGAATAAATCCTAGGTACATTACATGAGAAACAATGAGTAAAAGAAGAAGCTTTGTTTATTTGGCAGAAAGGAGAAAATGTACAACTGAAACATTCAGACTGGTAGGGTGAAAATTTTAACTGCAGCCATAAAATTTGACAAAAACTAAAGTGAAAATAAGAAAAAGAGGGAGAAAAGATAATATATTCCTTAACATAGAAAATGTTGCAGATAAACTGTTAAAAACTGCTGCTTTTTCTAAGTGAGGAAACTCCAATGAATTAATACGTCTGGGAAAACTATGACAGATATTTGCAAGAAATGTTTAAGATTGTTACAGCTTAATTAATTCCCTCAGATCATAAAATTAATTAGATTCACAAAAGTAGTTAGGCAGGCATGATCTATAATAATAAAAGCATAATATGCTAATTAGGACAGCCGAACAACCTTCCAGACATCCTTCTGGATGACCTTCCAGACAAAGCCAGGGCTGTGAAGGCCAAGGCAAGCCATAGAGGCTTCGAGGGCCAAGTCCCTTGCATGCATTTCGTGCATTGGGCCTCTGGTATCTACATATTGTTTTATAATCGATACCACAGAATTCCCATTCCTAAGATGTTAAACAAGATGAACAATGCACTGCATAAGCCTTTATCAAAACAGAGGATTTGTGGAATGTATCTTCAATTTCTTAATAAGGCTATATTCTACTCAATGTATCACAATCTCCTTATGTCATAAATAAGGTCTCTCAGAAGTCCACATGGGTTATACATGGACATATCAAAAGATTACATCTAAGGGCAATATCCCAGCGCCATGACTTCCATGCACAGTGACATTTATTTTCTGCTGCCTAGACCCAGATGGGGACAGGTGCTATGCTTCCTCATTAGTTGTCTCTTAACTGACAAAAAAGCGATGAGCATGTCTGAAACCATACCATGTGCAGTAAGTCCTCACTTAACGTCATTGATAGGTTCTACAACTTTAAGTGAAACAACAGAACAACCAAACTTACCATAGGCTAATTGAAATAAACAAGAGTTAAGTTCCTACGGCATCTCATCAATGTTATGAGGAAACAACATTGTAAAAAATAATATTATTGGAGGACCTTCTATAGTAAAGGAGGTGGTTATGAAACACTGAGTATTTTATATCAATTAAGTAGACATTAAATTTGTATTTATACACTAATTATAAGCAAAATATTATTCATAATCTAAATTAATCCCTTTTCTACAAAAATATTAAAGCATCATTAGGGTAAGTCTATAAATTTCCTTTAAAACCATACAGAAAAACAATAAAATTTACAATTAATACAATAATTCCAAAGTGGAGTTAAAAACAAAGGGCAGAAAGGAGCATGATGATATTGGTTAAAAGAAGAGCAAAGAAGACTGTTCACTTCATTGTACATCTTTATATTTTCTAGAAAATTCTTATTTTTATTGCTTCACATTTTTAAGTGTTATAAAAATGGGCCAGTAAGAAGTAATTGCCAAATTTGGGAAAGTTCCAAATTTTGACTATTGCAGAATTGCTACAGGATCAACAAAAGCAAACAAAATATAGTTACTATTAATTACAGTTAAATTGAACAATTCACTTAATATCACTTTAAATTTATTTAAAAGGTTACAGTTAGTGGGTAAGTGGAAGCAGCTAATTTAATATTTTTAAACTATTATTTATTCATTTATGTTTGTGATGTTTAGTCTAATTTGGAATATACAGTTTAATTCCAAATATTTTTCTATATCTTATTTTCTTGTGCACTGCAACATTTTTAGATTTATATTTCAAAACTGGTTGTAAGTGTGGTTAATCTACCTTCTAATTTAAAAGCAAAATTAACTATAAAAAAGTCAAAATATTTAATTAAAGTACCACACCCAATCTCAATTATTAGTTATATAAATTACTCCTACTATAAAGTTTACAAAGAAAAAGGAATTGCTTACATGAATAATAAAAAAAATAATAGAATATTTTTCTCAGACCTTTTAACATATTTTATATCAAACATTACAGACATGTACAAAAATGAGCCAAATAGTTACTAAGAAGCAATACAGTTATGTATGTTTAAATACTCTCTTTTTTAATAAAGTGTTTGCCTGGAACTATGTAGGTAACTCCAAATAGAATGGGAAGCCTTTCTTAACTAGTTTTCTAAAAGGAGCATTAGATAATTGGTTCTACCAAAAATGCTATTTATTTCACACACACACACACACACACACACACACACACCCCTTTACAGATTGCACTATGCAGGATACCTTGATTGAGCATACTGGGATATGTTCCATACTAATCCAAACTAAAGTAGGTCTGTGTAATAACAGCTTAATAATTTACAAATGTTAAGCAACCAAAAAAATACAAACTCGAAAGATTATTTTGAAGCAACATGGCTTCTGGAAGTCCATTTCATACTTCAGAAATATGAAGATTATTTGACAATTTTATTCTGATCTTTTGATGTAAGAGCATTTTAAATTCTATCTTTCCACTTAATGAATCCATAAGAAATACATTGGATCATTTTATAAAACCCACAGAAATATTTTACCCAGAGAAATGAAAATTACAACATCCCCTACCATATGGGGAGAAAGAGAGAGAATGAGAATGAATACAAATTCCATGGGTAAAATTGAGAGTTTGGCAGAAAGTGTTATTCAGATAGAAGAAATACTTTACACTTGCCTTCACATGAAATGTTTGTAGAACCAGGAGCACAGAGCAGAAAAAAATGTGCCTTAGATTTACTCTTGATGATATTATTGAGGTGAATCATGACACAGAAGTACATAATTCTTACATTAACAATGTCTTACTTATAAGATTTCATCTGAGGTAAAAGATAACCTGTGTTTAAATTTCCATTCTGTATTTTACACTTAAATTTTAAAACTAACTTTTGTTTAATACAGCACTTTATTCAAAAAATTTACACTACTGTTTTGTGTCAGTTATAGTAATTTTAACTTTCAAAATTTCAAATTACCACAACTGGCACAAGAAGAAATAGAAAATCCAAATGGCCTTAAATTAGTAAAGAAGTTTAATTCATAGTTAAAAGACAAAAGAAGTTGAATTCATAATTTTAAAACAACTTACAATGAAAATTCCAGAGCCAGCTATCTTCACTGGAAAATTATTTTAAGTATATTTAAGGAGTAAATGATACAAATCTTACATTTTTTAAAACATTTAAAAAAAGAGAATAGGAGAAACTATTTCCACTTCTGAACTCATTTTATCAAGTAAGCATCCCCCTAATACTAAACTCCTTATACAAGAAACCCTGTTCAAAGAAAATAAAATAAAAACCCTATGTCCCCCTTATAAACAATGTATAATAATAAAAGGGTAATAATCTAATAAGACTGGATGTCCTTCCAGGCATCCTTCCAGATGAAGCTGGGGCCGGAGGTAAGCCACCTGGGGCCCTGGTGCTGAAGGGAAGCCGGTGCCGGCAGCTGGGGGAGAGGAAGGCCTACTCTTGCACGAATTTTCATGTATCGGGCCTCTAGTTATATATAAAAAAATTGACACCATAGTAGAAAAGATAAATTCTTAGAAAAGTACAACCTTCCAAAATTGAATCATGAAGAAATAGAAAACCTTAACAGACTGAACAAATTGAATCAATAATCAAAACCTTTCAATAAACAGAAGTCCAGGACCAGACGGCTTCACTGGTAAATTGTACCAAATATCCAAAGAAGGTTTA